GAAATTAAAAAACAAAGAAATCATGAAATTTGCAGGCAAATGGTGGGAACTAGTAACGATCATCCTGAGTGAGGTAACCCAGAACCAGAAAGACACACATGGTATATACTCACTTATAAGTGAGTATTAGTCATAAAATATAGAATAAACATACTAAAATCTATACTCCTAAAGAAGCTAAACAAGAAGAAGGACCCTAGGGAAGTTGCTCAATAGACATAGGAAATGGGAGAACAGGACAGGAGCTTACCACAGAGGGCCTCTGAAAGACTCTACCCAGCAGGGTATCAAAGCAGATGCTGAGACTCAGCCAAAATTTAGGCAGCGTGAAGGGAATCTTATGAAAGAAGGGGGAGATAGAAAGACCTGGAGGGGACAGGAACTCCACAATGAGACCAACAGAGCCAGGAAACCTGAGCCCAGGAGTCTTTTCTGAGACTGATACTCCAAGCAACGACCATTCATGGAGATAACCTAGACCCTTTGCTCAGATGTAGCCCATGGCAGCTCAGTGTCCAAGTGGGTTTCCTAGTAAGGGGAACAGGGGCTGTCTCTGACATGAACTCAGTGGCTGGCTCTTTGAACACCTCCCCCTGGGGTAGTGCAGCTGTACCAAGCCACAGAGGAAGACAATGTAGCCTGTCCTGATGGGCCCCAATATGGTCAGCTGGAAGGGGAGAAGGACCTCCCCTATCACTGGACTGGAGGAGGGTCATGGGAGGAGAACAGAGAGGGAAGGTGGGGTTGGGAGGGTACAAGAGAGGTGGCTACAGCTGAGATACAAAATGAATAAATTGCAGTAATCAAAAAGTGAAAGAAAGAAAGAAAGAAAGAATAAAAAACCAGGACATGATTTTTTAATTTTATTACAAAGATGGGAAAATTAACTTTTTCTCACAAAATAAGCCCCTCACGGAGTTTAAATCTTCATAGAAAGGGCAAGAAGAATGTCATTTTAAAAGTCATTTTACCTTCTTTTTCTGTATTCTGTCTCTTGTTTCTGTATTATTTTATTTAATTATGTTGTCAAATAATATTTTATTTCTTCTCTAAACTGTGACCTTTTGAGAGCAGAGCCCATGTCTTACTTGTTTCTGTGTAGTTTCTAGTGCATAATAGGTCTTCAGTTCTTACTGAACTGAGTTGGTTGGACTAAGATATTGTTTTCTAGCCCTCAATTGAGAAAGTAGACTGTGCATGAATTTCTCTCATGGGCAGGTTGAGACAAAACCTTAAAAATCAGGAACCTAAAATTGTTCCAATTTCAGGATTGGGACCAGCTATGACCTATGAGATGTGTGGGTTAAATGGCCTCTTTAAGTTCAAATTTCAGCCCAACTCTGGAATATATTACTTAGTTTACATATTCTCTTTCTGATTATTGGCTAAAATTACTATCAAGTTAGGACCCAAAAAATCTACAAAATGAGTTTAAGTAGCGACTTTCCAATTGTGGATAACAATGTCCCATGATTTATGTCATGTTTTGGAGTAGGCATCCTTAGCTTTTCCCATTGTGGTCAGGACTTAGTTTTTAAGCTGTTAGGAAAACATTTTGGTATCTCTTGAGTTGGTTAAATTCAGCCAAGTACTTTGGATTGATTCATCTTACAAATCAACACAGTATGTTTTAAATTGCTCAGTACTTTTGTATAGGTCCCAAAAGGCATAGACTTGCTGGGATAGGGCATAAAGAAATAATATAAACAGTGCTGTGATGCATTATCCTATGTAAATTATTCTTGAAATATTAACATAAGATATCTTTAAACTCATTGCCAGCCTAATGTTCAGATATTTTACATTAAAAAAAGACTGAAAATTTATCTTTTTTTTTTTTTCGATGTCAGTGATGGTAGTAATTTCGAGAATTAAGTGTTCTCTTCAAATACAATCAACATTAGATGGCTTCTTGTGGATGATGAGCATTGTGTTAATCTGAATATCTTATTCCCAGTTCTTAAGATAGCAAAAGGGAATAAGAATCGACAGTACATGAATCCAGGATGATTTGTACACTTGGGAGATGAGATGAAGTGAGCTCAGAAGATTCTTGGGATGCAGGACAGATCAAGGAAGGAAGTGCATATGGCGGCTCCGTCTCTTCCTTATCAACAGATGGATTGGCAAGGACATGGACAGCTAGGGATGAGGTTGACTTTTTTGTTCCGTGTTTTTTGTAATTCCTCTCTGTATGGTTGGATTCTGGCTGATCCTTACTTTAGTTTTATTCCTTAGAGAGGAAAATTCCACTTTAATATTACTGGATATTACAGGAAAAATAGCATCAGTAAACACAGAACCTCAAACAGAGTTGGACTGACTGAATGACAAGACCATTGTCACATTCTCGTGGGGCGTGTAGAACATGAATTTACTTCCTTTAATGAACTCAGTCATACAGGTCTCAATATGATGCTTTAAATTCTGGCTGCTAGAGTATTGTAATATATTCATACTGGATTTCCAAACAAGAGGAACTGATTTTTAATCATCTAGGTTCCTAACGCTGCAACCTTATAATACAGTTCCTCATGCTGTGGTAACTGCCAAACAAAATTATGTTGTTGTTACTTCATAACTGTAATATTGCCACTGTTATGAATCATAATGTAAATATCATATATGGGGTTGTGGCCCACAGGTTGAGAACCACTCATCTACACCCAGGGACGCTTTAATGTAAGGGAAATGCTTTGGATTCACTTTGGAGCAAATTTCAAAAAGGAAATTTGATCTCCTGGTCTCCACCAAGGATGTACAGATAAGATATACTCATGGATTTCTGATTTCCTTACACAATTTGGAGTTTCTCTTTACCACCAGAGTTTAGAAACTAATGCTGTTGAGCTAGAAAGGTCTTTGTTTTATCAGTAAAATTCTATTTTCTAGTGATGAATATTTTATTTCCAGTTATTATCAATTTTATGCTTATCTCTCACTGGGAATCTGTTAAGGTGTTGATTGATACACTATCTTAGGTTTTGACCATTAACTTTAAGATATTTCATGGAATAGAGATAGCAAGTTAAATGAGGATAATACTTTTTTTCTTTAATTTTTGCTAACCAACTATTTGATGTTTTTGATGAGAGATGTACAGAAAGATGGGATTTAAAAACATTTATGATACATTTATTATTATTATTTTATATCTTGTGGGTATCTGTGGAGATCAGAGCGCAACTTGTGAGCATCTGTTCTCTCATTCTACTATGTGTGTTCTGGAAATGTAATTCAGCTCATTAGGCTTGGTGGCAAGTGCCTTTTCCTGCTGAGCCATCTTAATGACCTTGTTTAGTAGTCTGTCTGATGAATCAGTCCTATACACTGATACTTTCAGGAGGCTAAGCACCCAAGCAATTGTTGTTTAAGCAAAGCATGTTCTTAGTTTATTAACACATATTATACAAAATGCTCATTAATAGGAATTTAAATGCAATTTTGTTTTTATTTTTACACTTGGAGTTAAGAGTCAGACTTTTCTTAGTTAATTTAAATTAATTTAGAACACATATAAATTAGGCGACAGGATTACTTACTTGATTAGAAACAAATATTTAAAAGAAAATTTTATTCAAATAAATTATTTCTGCTTACTAGTTATGGTTGTTTGTATAGGTAGGAACATTTACTTCTCAATTTGTTGTAGGAGGTCATGTTGAGCCCACTTCAGTGGATTCCTAGTCAAATAGCTTGTGATTTAATTCCATTGTGTAATCTAAATGTCCTATTAACAAAGCAGTCACTTTTATCATTACAGTATAAAATCTAGTAGTTTCCCACAAAGCAGTAAAACTTGCGAGAAATGTATTGAAGATGAAAAATTATGCTTTATAATTCCTCTGAAATGAGAGAGATATAAACTTTAGTGCATTACTAATATTATTTTATGCAAATTTCTGCCAATTAAAGATTTAAAATCGGGTGAGTTTTAAAGTTTACAACAAACTGTAGTCATGACTTCCAGTCATCCTTTTTTAACTCCTAAGAGATCTTTATTTTTCTTTATTTTTAATTTTTATGCTCTTAGTCTGAGGTCCAGTGATATATGGATTTCATTACTAAAATTGATACTACCAGGAACACCTGGTACTACCTGGCTCACACCTATAATCCCAGAACTTAGGAGGCCAAGACAGGAGGATAAGTAGTTCAAGGCTAGCCTTTGCTACTTACCGAGACTCTCTCAAAGACTTAGGTGATGGGCATGAAGCTCAATGGTAGAGTCTTTGCCTAATAGTTCTGGGTTTGACTCTGCATTCAGAAAATAGATCTGAATCTATTTCAGGGCATATGTACGTAGCCTCTCAGTGACCAACACCAACTCCTTTCATCTGACAATAGTTTTTTACCCCATTCCTTCCATGAATTATTTAACCACTTAAGGCAAAGGCATATATGCTTATGCTACTCATCAGATTTGCTACCTTCTTATTGTGTTTTAATATCTTAGTCATTGCTATTGTCAAGATATTTTTCACCCTTCTCTCTTTTGAGAAATACATTTTAGAAAAAAATATCTTTTTAATAGTGTATGACTTACTGACGTTTCACACAGTTTAAACATTAAAAATACTTGTTTTATTGATTTAACAATAACTTGTCTTTTAAATTAGGGAATAGTTCAAGCTCACTGACATTCTAATTTTGAGGCCAGATTACCTCAAAGATCATTCTAAATGTTTGTAGCTAAGAGAACTCCTATTAAGACTTTGCCTTGACATTGCCATGTTTGAACTGTTATTTCCGGTGGTATTCTGGAATGCAGTGAGTGCCTCACGTCGTCAAAATCAGACCGAGCTGGTTAGAGTTCAGTGTGAACTCATTTGTATAAGAAGTTAGCATCTCAGGCAAAATTCTTCATGCCCTTTGGGCTTGCAGCACTGTAGGCTCTACTTTATCCAGAATCCACGTGTGGGCAGTGATTCAGGGCTTCAGGATCTCTCACCGGCCCAAGGATCCAAGGCAGTCAGTGCAAAACCTGGCCAGCAGCCCGAGTGAGTAGGAGCCATGTGACTCTGGTGAGTTGGAGTGTGCAGTTGCCTCCTGCTTCAGAGCTACCTGATCCGAATACTAAGCAGAGCGAGTGCCGGGCTGAGTGGAGACACCGAAGACACTGCAGAGCAAGGTGCTTTCTCCAGAGGTGTCACAGAACATGGAGATTAAAGACCAGGGGGCCCAAATGGAGCCGCTGCTGCCAACGGTAAGAGACAACCTGCTGTCAAATACATTAACCGCTCTGCTGCAGAGTCTGTCAGGAAAGTGGTATGCTGCTAGGTGCTGGGAGAGTGTACTTTTGGGGTGGTGGATAGCTCCCACAACATATGGACAGGGTCTCCTCCCATCTCCGCAGACTGAAATGCTTAAAGCAGAGCACATGCTTTTTTTTTTTTTTTTTTTTTTTTTTTTTTTTAATTTTCCATCTTCTCAATATGGATGCAGCATGGTGATGAAATGTCTCGTGTTTGTTGCTGTTTGAAGAAATGGCTAAGGTTTAGCAGCAGGGGCAGTTGTGTGTCTTTTTTCCTGCCTGTTAACGCTTATCTTTCTGTTCCTAAAGATTTGCAGTGCTGGCTCAAGCCCCTGCAGAGAAGCCCCCACCCCCCTTTATCCTATTTAGCCCTTGATGCATTTCTTCCCTGTGCATCCTTAGGCAGTGAGGTAAGGGAATGCTGCTGCTGTTGCAGTTCTAGAGATTCAGTCTCAGCAGAAAGGATCGTGTGTGTGTGTGTGTGTGTGTGTGTGTGTGTGTGTGTGTGTGTGATATCTATCAGTATCTTTTTCAAAGGGAAGTGTATCACAGTCCATGTACGTGGAAGAGAGGAGTTTTTGGGAGACAGTCACACTATTCACATTTGAGTGTCTGAAAGGTTCCTGGACTGTCATTTGGAATTAGCCCATCTGTTTATCGCTGGGACCTTTAGCTGCCTGCTTGATTTAATATTTGGAGTGATTGATTTGCCTGTCTTCTGCACAATCCGTCTGTCTGGCACACAGACTTTGGACTTCAGGCAACATCCCCTTTAGTCTGGGGGCAACTCATGTTGCTATGTTTAGGGGCGGCGTGGGTGAGGGAGGGTCAGTATTAACGTGGTGAGGCAGAGATGCTAAACGTTAGCTCCTAGCCTTCTATCAGCGTGATCACGGCTTAAAACAGTAGAAATCTCCGCAGCACCGAGCCACATAAGCGGCTGTTCTTTAGCTGTTCAGTTGTGACCCACCTTGCAGACTAGGACTGCTGAAAACCGTCCATTTCCAAATCCACGCTCTTCCTTTGAACGCACAGTTAAATGATATCGTAGGAGGATGGAGCAATTTCTGGGCCACTGATTTAGGGCCTTCAGCGGCAGCTGGACTCTAATGCTGCAAAACACATCCCGGTTTGCTTCCTGCATCAGCTGTGGCTACTGAGCATGCCCAGTGCTCCCCAGGACGCCAGGTTTGGATAGGGAGGGAGCAGAGAGGTGGGAAGAACACCAGTGTCACCATGAAGAACAGAGCCTAAATTAAGAGCAAGGACGGTGTCGGCGGGTGGGGGTTGGGAAAGGATGCAGTTAGCTAGCCTGCTTAAAGCTAGTGTGTGTGTGTGTGTGTGTGTGTGTGTGTGTGTGTGTGTGTGTAGTTTTGAAAAAAAAATGAGTAAAAGATTTGTGTACCTCTTAACTTGAATAGATGTGGTTCTCTGGTTACTCCAAATAAATAGTGTTAATGACACAGGGATCTGTTCTATAAACGACAGGGGGGAACTATACCCAGGAATTACAGGATGGAGATTTAGGAAAGATTAAATATAGGGGGAAAATCCCTTTTGTGGCAGGGGGGCTGGTGGGGGCTGGGACTTGTCCTAGAAAAGCAGGCTGAAGCCAGTTTGTTGTGGCTTATGGATTGTCACTTGGTGGGAGCAGTTAAAGGATTTAAGACCAAATGAGGATTATCTGGAGGAGTTTTGATGACATTACTGGGCTCCATGGGCAATCGGTTTGTGGCTTAAAAGAGCGAGGGACATAGAAGTTGGCTAGAAAAGAGGATCTACAATGTTTGGTAAAAAATAATTAAAGGCCACATTTGTATTTCATGGGCGTTAATGGCTAGTACAGAATAGTTTTACAGTTAAATGGTAAGGCAGAATCATGTTAGCAATATGTTAAAAAAAGATAAGCCTAAGAATTAGGAAGAATGGTAAATTTTTGGCCTGGTTTTAGATTTGCATTGTTTTTCACTTCTTCAGTTGCTTTAATTTTTTTAAAAGGTCATATTTGCTATGTAAAGTAGCTTTTATTAACTTTATTTTAAAAATAAGAAATCAAGGCACATGGAGTCTAAATAAAATGTTGAGTTTCATTGTGTAAGGAAGCTAGGACTAGAATATAGGTCTTCTTAAACTAATTTTAAAAAACCACCCAATATTTTTGTGTTAGATTTTTAATCAGGCTTTAGTGCAATCAGTTCCTGGGTGCTTTATATATAAATATATATAAAGAGAAAGCAATAGTTTTGGAGTTTATTTTAGAGTATTAATCAGATGACTTTGCAAACAATTATATGAGAGGCATTGTGACATATTTTTTAGGAACATATTGTACTGGGGCCTGGCATTGCTATTTATTTATTTTTCCTGTAATCTTGGAAAACTTAAGTTTACATTCCACAATTGAAAAATGGGAAGGCTGTGATATATGCCTTTTCTTTAATTAAAAACATTTCTTTATTTATTTCTGTGTCTGAAGGGTGTGACTTCACCCTAGAACATAGTGGAGGTCAGAGGACAACTTGTAAGAGTGAGTTCTATCCGGTCACCATGGGTCGTTGGTATTAAGTGACCTCAGGGCCTTCGAGTTGGCATCAGGTACCTTTATCAAACGAGTTATCTCACTGGTTGAAGGCTGGATTTTAAATGTAGTTTGATCAGACAGGAATGGATGGTGGAAGTTAACATCTTATTTTGAGTCTATTTATGGATATGTAGGTCAGTGGTAAAGCCCTTGCCCACTATGTGCAATGATAAGGGTTCAGTCCCAAGTATTGCTGTCAGCTGTCACATATGATTTTATTCTTACTGTTTAATAAATGAGGACACTAAAGAAGAGAAATGGGATTTCTTGCCAGTAACCGTACTGGGAGAATAAGCATGGATACAGGTGAGACAGAAGAAAGGGAAAACAAGTCCCATGTGGGAAGGGACTGAACTCAGCCTCTGCTGAGCCCTTCCCTGCACACATCATGCCACCTGATGTCTTTGGTGTCATCGCTAACTGTGGAAGGGAGTTGGCACACTTAGCTAGCTGCCTCAAGGCAGAGATCTGTCTAGCTTATTATTTTATTTGTGGAAAAGAAGAAAAGATTATCTTAGAGAATGGAAAAAGCTCGAAAAAGAGAACATGGGTTGGCGAGGTAGCATTTTTTATATTTAATTTGAATCACAATCTAAATTGTAGTTTAATTTAAAACAAAATTGTTCCACACTATTACGTAGGAAGACATGTAGTATAAGAAATCATTCCTAATTTTTACTTGAATAATAGCTCCTCCAGAGAGGTGAACTATAGAAATAAGTATATGCACAGGGTGCTCAGGTTGTGAGAACGAGTGGAAAAACCTAAAATCTACATGTATTAAGTTTATAGTAAAATTTTTGAGGTCAGATTAAGGAAGCAGGACAGTTTAGAATGGAAAGGAAAATCTGGGACAGGGTGGCAGTCTAAATAGACTTGGAATAAATGGTTATATGTTTATGATATCCCTTTAGATTAGGCTTCAATGATGGGTTGCAGCTGTACCTACACAGGAGCGCATTACAATGTGTGAAGTGTGAAGGCAGGAATATGAGTACACTTTCGGCCATTGTGTCCAAAGACACCAGCTCAGCTCAGCTCAGCTCTGACAGGCTGTAAAACTATTTAGCTTTTTTGTGTGCTGCCACAATTAGTCCTTAGAGTAAATTCTAGCTAAGAGCCATTTGTGTGCTTATGTGCTGAGGCTTGAACCTACACACTCGTACACTAACTTGAACGTAGGCACACATACAGTGAAGCAAGCACCTTACCACCATGCCACGTCCCTATCCCGTGTTTTATTTCTAGATACAAGAAATGTAAGCTGAATATTTGATACTTTTTTTTTTTAAAGAGTCTTACCCTACTGTCCAGACTGGCCTCAAACTCAAGGAAATTATCTGCTTCAGCATTAGAAAAGCGGGAGCTGAAAATATATGCCCTCACATCTGGCTTTGATACTTTTGTCATAAATATTATATCATATACTTTTTGGGGTTTGTTATTTTTCTTTGGAAACAAGGAGCAATTCATTTATAATATAATATTTATGAATAGTGTGTATACATTTCAATAGGCATTATATTTTTATATGAGGTTGCCAAATAATCCGTTTTACTATGAAATCTTCATATGTATATAAAATAAATAAAATACATAATGTACTTTGCTCATATTCATTCTCCCTTTATCCTCTCTTTCTCCTTTCTCTTTCTCCTCAGTCTCAATCCTGTCCTCTAATAGGCTCTATTCTACTTTTGTCTCTCTCTCACACACACAGCTGCACACTCTTGCACATATATACATACAGGCATGCACACACAATATTTTATCAAGTTTTGTTTTTGCAAACGACAGTTTCATTTTTCTTATAGTTAGCTGAAAATTTCATTTATATATATATATCGGATATATATATTTGTCTGTTGATACACAACTAGATTGATTGTTCCATATCCTGTTATTATGAGTAATGCTACAGTAAACATGGACAGGCAATTGTTTCTGTAATATGCTGACTTACATTCCTTTGAGTAGATAGTGACGAGTGGATAGCCAGATAATATGGTAGGTATATGTTTAAGTTTTTTTAATCTCTATTTTTATTTCCATTGTGGCTGTACAAGTCTGTACATGTTCCCAACAGTAGTCACAATGGTTCCTGTTTCTCTACATCCTCATCAGCATTTGTTGTTTATTTTCTTTGTGATAGTTGCTCTGGCTGGAGTGGGGTAGAAGCTTAGTGTAGTTTTGGTTTGCATTTTCCTGATGATTAGAGCTGTTAAACATGTTCTTGTATTTATCTTTTAAAAACTGTTGTGTTCATTTGCTGATTCGTTGACTGAGTGATTTGGGTATGGGCTATTTTTTTGGGGGAGCTCTATGTATATTCTACTTTGATATGAGTTTGTTGTTAGATGTATGACTAGCA